AATAATAAAAAAAATAAAACCATCAAAAACCCAGTACCTAATATATTGTATGACACTAAAGCCTTTTCTAATGTTTTATTTAGCTGATTTATAATATACTTCTTTTGTATCTTATACCACAACATCAATTAAAGAACTGAATTTAAGAAATCTGTTACCAAGGCTGGCCAAATAGCTCAGGGGACTAAAGCGCCTGCTTAGGCAGAGGGCAGGGTCCAGGGTTCAATTCCCGGTGTGCAGTGCCGGCCCCACCCCCAGGGTGCACTGAGGTGGTGATTGGGACTGGGCATGGTGGCGCGCACCTATATTCCCAGCACTTGGGAGGTTGAAAACACTGAGTCCAATCTATGTATTGAGACACTGGAGACCCTGGAGACCCTATAGACCCTGTACCAAATACATTAAAAAAAAAAAAAAATTATATAACAAAAAGAAATCTGTTACCATCACACGTACATATTTAAAGACTAGATCAATTGCAATATTCTATATACGTGTTTCGATAACTTAACAATAATGGTGCTTCTCATCATTAACAGTTGAGCAGGGGGCCAAGGAGATAGCTCAGTAAAATAAGCGCTTACTGGCAAGCACAAGGGCCTAAGTTTAATCCCCAGCTCTGCCAAAAAAAAAAGAAAAAAGTTGAGCAATTCTAATCATTTCCAATATTTGATATCAAAACTGTTCAAAATATACTGTAATTTTAATGAAAAGATCCATGAAGATTAATTTATTCTAGAATAAATAAGTCTATCCTAGAATAAGAATTTATCACTGGCAGAAAATGAAGTCCTCAATCAAAAAAATTCCCTGTAATGTACTTTTTAAAAAATAAACTAAACAAGGCTGGGGATATAGCTCAGCAGCATAAGAGCCTGCCTGGCAAACATGAGGTCCTGAGTTCCATCCCTGGTACCAAAAAAACTAAACATTTGATCTAATCCACATAATTTACTAAAAATCTTTTCTTCAAAAAACCTAAATTAAAAAAATTTTTAAAAAAAAAGAAAGAAAAAAAAAGTATAGGTGCCGCGGAGATGGCTCATTGCAATAAGTGCTTCCCTGGCAAGCACAGGGGCCTGAGTTCAATCCCCGGTTCCACCAAAAAATAAAAAAAAAGAATGAAAAAACCTAAAATAAGGGCCAGCCAGATAGCTCAGTGGATTAAAGCACCTGCTCTGGCAGACACAGGGGCCAGGGGTTCCATGCCCAGCTTGCCATGCCAGCCCCACCCCTGGGGTGAACCGAAACTGGTGAGACTGGGTGTGGTGGCTCAGGCCTATAATCCCAGCTTTTGGAGGCTGAATAACAAGAAGGATCACTACAAATCCAATCTGTGTAGTGAGACCTTGCTGACCCTGTGCTAAATACATAAAAAAAAACAAACTTAAAATAAAAATCATTTATCCTACAGACCTACTGAATTAACACAATTTAAGATAAATGTCATTACAAATATTATTTACATTATGCATTTTAATAAAGTCCTTAGATATCTATATCCTATATATTAAAAAGTTATAAATTTTAAAAGAAGTGAGATTACTCAAAATATAAGTATTTCTTCATTTTGTTTTGCTTTGAGCAAGCATTTTGCTGTATAGTTCAGGCTGGCCTCAAACTCACCACAATCCTCCTGTCTCAGCCTTGTGAGTGCTAGGATTATAGGTGTGTGCCACTATACCCAGCCTGTGTTTCTTAGGAGAAATAAGGACCAACAAGCAATGCTGATGTTTTCCTCATTGAAGTATATGTAGAGAAAAAGCACAAATTGTGACTGAACTGTGATTATTTTAAATAATTAGTAAGTGCAGGCAAATGTCAGTCAAATGAAATAGGAAGAACAGACAGAAAACAAATCTGTCCTTTCATGGTGGGAAGAAAGAAAGAGCATAGCTTCACTAAGATCATGCATCTTGGCCAAATTTTAGGGTTTTTTTTGTTTTTGGTGGAACCGGGGATTGAACTCAGGCCCTTGCACTTACCAGGTAAGTGCTTATTCTACTGAGCTACCTCCCTGACCCCTGGGATTTTCTTTTTTAAAAAAATGTATTTAGTACAGGGTCTACAGGGTCTCACTACATAGATCGGACTCCTAGTGATCCTCCTGTTTTCAGCCTCCAAGTGCTGAGATTATAGGTGCACACCATCATGCCCAGTCTCAATCACCATCTCAGCATGCCCCAGGGGCGGGGCCTACACACCAGCGACCCAACTCCTGGCCTCCTGTGTCTGCCTAAGCAGGAGCTTTAATTCACTCAGCTTCTGGCCAGGCATCGGCCAAATTTTAGAGGGTAAATAGAAACTTGCTGCACTAGTTAGGGAGGTCAATATAGTTGGAGCCTGAACTGAAATCCCGAGCAGGAAGATACAAAGAGACAAACCTTGCAAAGTACGAAGAAGACCGGTATGCTTATCCTGGGAACTCAGGATGTTATCTGACAGATCAGCATCTCCTAAACAGCAGACTTTCATTACTACTATCACAAGTTTTTGCTATATGTATAATGCTATGCTATTATTTACTTTTCTTTAAGTCAATTAACTTTTAGTTTAAACTTACTTGAAAACTATTTTTGAGCATAATTTATCTGGAACAAAAACTTAATGTGCTTCTTTTTAAAATAATTCTTATAATACACTTAAAATTTAAAAACAAATCTTATTTATTCATCACCTCAAAATGGTCCCACACACCACCAGTGGAATGAGGACTGTAGATAGGGACAAACTGCTTTAAATTTTTTTTTTTTTTTTTTTTGCAGAACCGGGGATTGAACTCAGGCCCTTGCGCTTGCCAGGGAAGCACTTATTCCACTGAGCCATCTCCCCGGTCCTGCTTTAAATTTTGAATGACTCTAAGTAAGGAAATGCCATGTTCAGGAGTGTTTTCAGGAAACTCCAGCTGGTAGATAAGAGTAGATTAGGTGTGAGAAAGATAAGAAGCAGAAACTCAAGTCAGCCACTGCAACAGTCCACATGAAACAGGATGCTTTGATGTTATCAGTTACTGTAAGATGCCAGCAAAGATTAGGTAGCCAGTGACATTTAGGAGGGTAAAAGAACTACAAAGTTCACCTATGATTAGATTCAGAAAGTGAAAAAGAAGAGACAAGATCCAAAGGAAGGGGGGCCAGGGAGCTGGCTCAGTGGAATAAGCGCTTTCCTGGCAAGCACAAGGGCCTGAGTTCAATCCCCAGTTCCACCAAAAAAAAGATCCAAAGGAAGATAGACGGGAAGGTAAATTCAGTTAAAATTTTCCAGGAGACAGTGTCCTTTAATTTGTCATCATGAAAGGGGTTTTTTGAGCTGAGGGAAAGGTGATTTGTTGTAGCTGTGTTTTTTGTGATTCTGGGGATGTGACTCAGAAAGTACTGAAATATGTCCTAGGCCCATTATTCATTCACTCATTCATTCATTCATTCATTCATTCATTCATTCATTTTTGGAGACAGAATTTGGCTAAATTGTGCAAGCTGGTCTCCAACCTTCAATGCCCTACTTCAACCTGCCAAGCAGCTGAGATGAGTCATGCACCACTATGTCAGCTCCAACAAATCTAAATTCAAACACCTACACATTTAAAAAAAAAAAAAAAAAAAAAAAAAAAAAAAAAAAAAAAAGGACTGAAAAGAAATACTACAAAATTATTCTACTATTCCTTGATCAGAAAATTCTTTTTTTTTCTCCTTTTTTTTTGTGTGTCAGGAATTGAACACAGGCACTTGTGCCACTGAGCTACATCTTAGACCTAGAAAATTCAAAAAGGGGCAGAAACTCTTTCTTTCTTTCTTTCCTTTTGGCAGAACAAGGGATTGAACTCAGGTACCTTGCACTTGCCAGGCAAGCACTTATTCTATTGAACTATCTCCCCAGCCGCCCCCACCTTTTTTTTTTTTTTTTTTTTTTTTTTGAGTAGAGGTAACTTTTTTTTAAATATTTTTTTCCAAAATTCTCAGAAGCAAAATTAAGTTCCTTCTATTTCCTTCCATAATCCTTTAGCATATAATGGCAAGCTCTTATTATACATTAAAGTTGATAGTACTTATGTTTAATCAACTACTTTACAACCTATTTAAGGGTAAGGATCATGGTTCTGACTATTGTATGCCTACCTGCTCCTACCTCCTAGCAGGATACTGGACACATTTGAAACTACTTTTGGAGCAAATGCAAACATTAAGTACCACTCACCTTCTTTTTTTTTCCCACCCTCTGGAATCAAATCCAGAGCTCTACACACACAAGGCAACTGCTCTATCACTGAGCTATATCTGCAGCCTATATCACACCTTCTCCTAACTAAAATTCATAGTGTAACCTGTCAGGCTCTTCTTGGAAAATCATTACTACGTGACACATTAAATCAAAACTGATTAAATTAAATGTTTTCCTACCTCATGCCCATTACACATTCATAAAGGAATATGATTCCTTCTTTTTGATGTGGTCGAAGGTGATACACAACATGAGGATCTATCACTACATCCACAAGAGGGAAACAGTTTTTACTGAACATCCACTGATGATTCTTGTCTGGTCTTGGCATAACAAGAGAATCTTTTAAAAACAAAAAAGGTACAAGTATGATCACATGGGTAATTTCACTTTCACTGCAGCTATAGTTTTCAATATTGCGATCATGTCCAAAAAAATACAAAGTTTAGTAACACTAATGCTAATGACAGTACAAAATAACAAAAGGAAATCTCATGCCTTACTATTCTAAGATTTCATACAAAGAATTACAAAGCACTTTCCATACTTCCTATGCCCAAAAGTGCTTCAAAAATCATGGAAGTCACTTTTACCTTGGAAAGCACAGGTTGAAATTTTACCAAAACACACTTGCCAATACCAATAGTTTCTCATTTTGAAAAGACTCCCAAACTTAACATAAAGGATTTTTTGTTTTTGGTCCTTCACTCTCTCAGAACGATCATTACTTCTATTAATAAGATCTAAGAGAGAATAGATTTTCCATTAATTCAGCCATCATTATTTACTTAGCTATTATATTCATGAATGTCAAACTCTGCAAGCAGCATAAAGTAACCATTAAATACCAAAATAAGTTTTTAGAACTATTGTAACATAATTTAAAAGATTTACTAAAACATCACCCAGAAAGGCAAAATCAAATACACCTCAAGGCAAGTCTCAATTGATAAATATAAAGTAAGATAACCCCTTCAAAATTATTTTGGGGGTATATTTACATGTCTACATAATGATTCAAAACTCAGTTTGACCCAAAAAATAAACAGGAAGGAAATCAGAGAACAAAGAGATAAGAAGGGAAGATACAAAGAACTAGGTTCCAGTAGACTAAACAAATGTTCATCAGTATGGACATACACGATCACAGGAATGAGAGTCAGGTCTTATTTGCCACTAGCAACTACCCAGAGGGCAAGTTTTCCATGGATCTTCTGCAGTTTATAGGTAACCAAAAAGAAATCTTTCTTTGGAATCAATTCCTGCTAGGTAGGAGATTAGAGAGTAAAAATGGAAAATTTCACCCTTGATTTCCCTTTATATCCTGAGAGCAAACAAGAGGGTACTCCCTGAGGAGTTGCAACCAGGAACTAGCCCCATTTCCGCTAGTTTTAAAAAGGAAATGCAGATGAAACTCACATACTGTTCACCCATGAAGGACCATAGGATAATGACAAAAACTATCATCTATAGATGACTTGTCTTCTTTGATTACTGAATTTACTGGGTATTGAACACAGAGCTGTCACACTAAGTTACATTTTCAGCCTTGGTTCTTTTGTTTGTTTTGGGTTTGTTGTTTGTTTTTGAGACGGCCTTGCCAAGTCACCAAGTTGCTCAGGCTGTGCTCAAACTCACAGTCCTCCTGCCTCAGCCTCCCGGAGTACTGGGATCACAGACTGGGATCACTACTCCCAGCTTTTTAAGAGGTATATCTTTATTTTTTTTTAATTTATTTATTTGTGTGTGTGTGTGTGTGTGTGTGTGTGTGTGGCCAGCTCAGCCCACCAGGGGGCGGGGCTGGCTGGCATGTGGTGCTGGGGGATTGAACCGCGGTCCCTGTGTTTTGCTAAGCTTGTTCTAAGTAGGTGCTTTAGACCACTGAGCCATCTCACCAGCCCCTTAAGGGGTATATCTTTAAGGGGGGGGGGAATAAAATCTTCCTAGCATGGGAGGCTGGCAGGTGAACAGGTTGGGCCCAGCCTGGGCAATTTACACACTAAGAGAAACTGTACCTCAAAATAAAAAATTTAAAATAGGTGGGAAGGCAGCTCAGTGAAAAGGCTCCGGGTTCAATCCCTAGTACTGCAACAGATTACTTTTACATATACAGCCTAATTCTATCCATGGCATGGTAAAATAAATGAGAACAATCAATCATTTATACAAAAGGCTGCCATATGTGTATGAATCTACACACACACACACACACACACACACACACGGCCAGGGAGATAGCTCAGTGGAATAAGTGCTTGCCTAGCAAACAGAAGGTCCAGAGTTCGATCCCCAGTACCATCAAAACACACACACACACACACACACACACACACACACACATACACACACACAGAGCACTCTAAATCTCTGAAGTGGTTATTAGAGCCACATAAAGTAGCAAAACATTAGTGAAGTAATATCCAAAGAGGTCAGAAAACTAGTTAGTTCAGTGGCAAAACCACAATTCTGATTGAGGTCATTGAGTAAGCACAATATTCTTTTCTTTTCCCTACAGCCCTCTATTGTGCAAGAGGAAGGCAAGGAGAAAAGAGGGAAGGAGCTGGTGGAACAGAGGAAATAAGTGGGTAAAAAAAGAAAAAAAAATTGCAAGCATAAGCCACAACTCTCCATATTTCTACTGAGTCTTTAGGATTAGTTAATGAAGAAATAGGAAGTTTTAATTGTGGGGTTTTGCCTCCATTACACCACTGATTACTGAATTTACCTAAGTAAGTTTTTCTTACCACGCCTCAGTTCCCTCAAATACAGAGTGCAGGGACTGATTTAAATGATCTTAAGACTTATACTTCCATGACAATGGCAACAGAAAAAAAATAAATTACTGCTGCTTGTTTTCACTATGAATCGCCTTTATTTTACATCATCCACATTTCAGCATTTAGTGGTCCTGAACATAAAGTGGGAATATGCAGCAGGTGCCCGGAGGCTAGCCCGCCAGTCCAGGGATCCGCGGCACAGAGTTGCTCCTTCATCCCCACTGAGCATGAGAAGCAACAACACCAAAGTCAGAGTCCACACCAGCCAGGTTTTTCTGTTCCAGTTGTCAGACTGCACATGGGGAACAGCAATCCCGACTGACCACAGACCTCGTGTGCTTAGGAGTGTCCCTGTGTGCCCTCACCCCAGGTCTGCCTACCAGGGGTCCAGGGCGCTGGCAAATCTGCACAACCCTATGCCTGCTCTGTTCACCTCATGACACCTGAGCTAAAACACTGGCAAATGGTGGCAGCAGGCAGCAGCCCAGGGCCTGATAATAATTTCCCAGACTGGTGGAGTATGAAGGGCTGTGGTTCCAAAGCTATAGGAGGGAGGTCAGAGACTCTAACCATACCTGATGGCTTCTGGCCATAGGAAGAACAGGGCGTGGAGAGTGCTGAGGGTGACAATATGACAAAGGTAGGCAGGAGGAGGAGGCAAAAACAGCACCCCTTGATCAAGGTCGGGAAGAGATGGGGAAGCCCTGAAAGGGCTTCCTCACTAAAGGCCAATTTCAGAGGGGGTAGGAGAGTTACATTCTATTCTTCAGCTAAGAGTGGGAGTGGAGGAGAGAGAGACAATCTGATGGCCTGGATGGAAGAGCCACTTACAACTTAAAGAAGCCATGGTGTCCACAAAAGACGCCCCACACCCAACAGTAATCTCATAGGCAGCAACCTGAAGCCTTCACATCTACTCAATCAGCCACCCAGGCCAGGGTTCCAGGGGGCAGAGGCAGGGCAGCAGGCAGTGCCCAGGCTGGGAAATCAGCAGCAAGGTGAATGCAAAATGTGTCTTCTCATAGTGAAGTTAGATGTGCCCCATCAGTGGAGTTGGGGATCAATTTAAACATACCTTCTTGATCCCAGAAGTTAAACCATGTGGACATTGGTTACACCTGACAGGTTGGTTTGTTATAGCACAACTTATATATTCAAATGGACAAAAATTAGTATCATTTACAGTATCTGAAGATAAACTGCCTTTGAATGGGAGTTTCCTTTCCACTACTTTGAGATCTACAAGAAAATTTACTACTGTGGAAAATGAAAACTGCTTAAATCAAATGGGGGTGGAAGGTGGAAGGGAGAGTCAGGGGATTTGATTAATTACTGTAACACTTGTCCTTCAGGTGGCTGAGGAAGTTTCATATTTTCTTTAAACATCAGAAAGCGCCAAAGCTCTTGCAGAATAACTCTGATGCTATATGAATTCTGTCATTTTGTCAGCACAGATATGGCTCACTACAACTATTAACTCCATTCATATTAACTTTTGTTACAAATCTTACAGAGGGGGGTGCTTCTGGGTACTTAGGTCCACTTTCTATTTTAAGGCTGTATGTTTGGTTTTCATAAATTGTTCTTGGAGGCCCAATTACCATCCCTGTCCATCTTGTAAGTGCCATGTTTTTGTCATCCCCTAGACTCTAGCTACCTGCGCCACCTCTTATTCCTTCCTGGTCCTCTTTGAATTCTTCCAACAGTCGGAAACTGGGAGTGACTTTTACTCCCAAGCCCAGTGTGGCTGCCGTCTTGCATTGCCATACTCACAGTAGGCCCCTTCTTCCACTGTTACTTTATATACTGTTATTTTATTCCTACTATTAAAAAGCCTCTTCTTCCCCTCTTTTTTCTATCTACCACAGCATATTTCATCCATAATCCTCACCAAAAGGCCCTGCCATAACAGTTTTACTTCTAGGTCCAATGCAGAAAAAGTAATTTAAAAGCATTGGCTAGTTTCTCTTAGTTCATTGAAAAGAAATGTATGTGCTAAGATTGTTTAAACAAGATATTATGCCTATATCTTATACTCTGAATAACTACTACAAAGACAACAATACATAATGCATTGTAGTAACTCTCCTATCAACCTGTTTTGAAACTGTTTTTATTTCTCTTTAAAATTGAAAAAAAAAATCAGCAAGGAAAATAATCAAATGAAAGAATAAAAACAGTGTATTCAAAGTGGTTAGGATAGATATATAGTTACATTCTCTTAATGAATAGAGGGATTTGTCCTAATGGTGTTTGTAAATAGGATATCATGTCCGCATCTTGTACAGCAATTAACCACTAGAAAGAATGTATGTAATGTGTTAATTACTGAAATTGTCCTTCCAATTTGGTTTGAAACTGTCTCATTGCTATTTGTTTCTCAATAAAATTATGGAAAAAACCAAAAAAAAAAAAAAAAGATGAGGAAGTTAACTCTTTAGTATTTTGATGAAATTACAAATCCCTTAAACTAAAAAAAAGAAAGAATAGAAACAGTTCAAGTCCTTCTGCAATGTGAATTTTTTTAAATCAAACTGAATGAATTAATCTAAATTGAAACTGACTGAAATTAAGTGATTTAATAAAAACTGAATTTTCAGGTTTTGCATAGTACCTTACTATTCCAGACTGTAATATATTAATGCACATCATCAAAGCATATAATCTTCAAACCTGAAGTGTATTAATTCTGATTAATAAATTTACTATTTTTTCTCCTTACGATAGAAGTCAGATTTTATTTAAAATTACATTTGGGTACATGTATACATCTACAACTTACCTATTTTTTCTTTAGTGCATAACATAATATTTTGATTATTCTTTTTGTGAGGTTATGCATTTGCACATTAAATAATTCCCAAACTCTTGTTATTTGATGTTAACATTATCCCTTACATCAGACTATGTATGCAAAGAATAATATAGACTTTCTCCTGCTTAAACAAAATTTAAACTTCAACTCACATTAAAAAAAAAAATCCTTCACAGTAAAAGCAGAATATTCAAGCTATTTTTAACACCTTACTTGGTGTGTATGGGTCATGGCGTGGTTTGTACTTTTGGAAATCATCCTGTATATTTTCCTTTGAATTTGGTTTACAAATACTTCTGAAAGGCTTG